CCATTTTACTGTAAACTTTTGCTAAAAAGAACTTTGAGAACGTCCCATCCTCCATAAGGGCTGACAATTCATTTCCTATAAAAGAATGGAAATACAAAGGAAAAAACTCTCATCTTAAACAAATGTTCAGCTTTCTGAAATTTTTAAGGCTGGTCTTTAACAAATGATTTTGAAAAATACTGAATAAAATTAATTTTTTTCAGTCAGTTAACTAATGAACAGCTACATAAAAAAGATTTAGGATAATAACTGGACGAAAGAAAATTTAAAGCACTGTAGACCCAATGAAGTTGTTTTTAGGCATAATTAAGATACAACCTCTCATAACAAAATTAGCATTTCAATTTTCATTTGTAAGTATATAAAAATTGCTCATTGAACTCATTAAAAGAGAGTAACTACTATCTGCAGCTGTACTTTTTTAGTTAAGAAGGTAAAGTTTAAAAAAAGGTACTTGATATACAATAAAGTATCATCATGAAGAACACCAATTTTGGTGTCAAAGAATTCTAAGTTTCAGAACCAAACATGTTGAAAAGCAAATTACAGTTACTACATTTATACACAGACACACACACACACACATACACACCACAAATATATACATATATATAGAGAGAGAGGGAGAGGGAGAGGGAGAGAGAGGAGGGAGGAGAGGAGGGAGAGAGAGAGAGAGAGAGAGAGAGAGAGAGAGAGAGAGAGAGAGAGTATGTACTTACCACAAACACTATTAAGGTATAAGGAGGTAATAACAGAACAGAAAGTGGAATTGATGAAGAACAGGTGACTTAAGTATTACTATTCTTTCATAATACTTGATTTTTTTTAAAAAAAGAATCTTGTAGTATATTTTAAAGGTAAAGATTATAAAAGTTAATGTGTTTAACTACTGGAGATAGTTGCAATTTATAAATATAAATAAGTTACTATCTTTCTATAACACAATTAAATGTTTCATAACTGTTAAATTTTAAAATACCTCCTTTTAGTACAAAGTCATTCTGATAAAAGAAAAAAAATGCATATACATTTAAATAACCAACCATACATATAAATATTGAGAATATGAACGTAGATTACACAAGATAAAATGAATAGATCAGACTTATCAGGTATACTTTTGTCAAATCAAAAAGACTTTCATACCAGGTTCATGAGCTAGAGAGTGCTGAAGAACTTTCTCAGCTTTGTCATACCATTTCAATTTTAATAAGAGCTCAGCCAGGTCATAGCAAAGGTAATTTTGTTGTCCAGTTTTCAGAGCAGCTTCATAGTAAGTGATTGCCTAAACAAAATCTACTTTAGTTAGAACCAAATGAACAATGAGCATGGCTTTCAAGCACAGGTATTTTACGTATCACAGACGTGAGCAATACCCATACTGAAAATAACCTAGGGAGAATCTTAGGCATATACATCTACTGTCAGTTAGTTATGCCATTTTTCTTAGAGAATCAAACATCACACAAGGAAACTAATAGTACTTGGCTAACAGTGCACTTTGCAAAAAAAATTATAGGTTTTATTATAAAGGCCAGTCAACCTTATTGAACACAGATACTTAGCTAGCGAGTACATATATGCCTAACAATTACCTGGGACAGGAAAAGACTGTATCAGTTAAAGGAAAACCTATTTATCTCTACTAGAAAAAAAATCTCAAAGCACAGCTTGTCCAAAGTGGTTCAGCAGAGAGGACATTAATTACGCTTTATTGTATAATGAAAGTGATGTAAGAATAGAACTTTATTGTAATTGATTTGGTTGCAAGGACTTGCATGTAACAGGAAGTCTGAAGTAAACTCTAGAGTCCAAACAATCTTCACACAATGAAGCAAAGAAAGCCCTTAACACAAATACCAGCTCACGAGTACAAATTTGGAGTATGTAACCAACAAAAAATGGTGCTTGCTGAAGAGTTAGTTCTCTAGGGTAGAGTTTGATCAATTTGACCCAATAGACATAGTTCAGACTATGAAGTACCTACCTTTGAATAGTTGTGAGTTTTGACAAGCGCCTTCCCAATTTTGCTTGCTAAAGTCCCATCTTTTGGGTTCTGATTTAATGCTTGCTCATATGCAACAATGGCTTCTTCAGGCTAATATTGCCAGACAAAAAAATAAGCAATAAAAAGCAGGCTAACTGGATTCCTTTATTTGGCAACACCTCTATAATTAACTTCTACAGTTAGAATGCTTTATAAAACTATTTAAATCTAAAGTGCAGGAACCTTAGCAATTTCAGAAACGTGACAGAGTACAGTACATGTAACATGCGTAGTGCTACTCATGTAGGCTGTGCTCTGATCTACATAAACAACAACACGAGAACAAAGAAACAGCTTCTTGACTTTTCATTTCTGGCAGTCATTATAAAAACCAGTAGCTCTCTATCCTGTTTAAAGGAGACTCCCAAAATGCATCTAGAATCATCTTCATTCAAAACAACTATAGTGCTGAATTACTCTATCTCAATATAAAAAAGAAACATTTTATTTTATTGATGACTGAATCTTCAAATAATAAACAGTATAAAATAGTCAAGATCTTTTAATAGAAAGTTATACTAATTATGAAGAATATTTTAAAAAATCTAAGTTCAGTAGCATCAGAAATTTTACCTCTTGAATATTCATATATGCATCACCAAGAAGAAGAAAAGACCGAGGGTTGGGCATTCTTTCAGCAATTTCTCTAGAAAACAGATCAACTTTACTGAGTATATTGAATACAAATATCTTTTTCTAAAACAATTAATAAAATGTATCTCAAACAGCAGCTTTCAAAGTACCTTCTACACAGTCAACTGGGTAACCTTTAAAAAAAAAAATCTACTCAATATCCACATCCAGACTCTTTATGTAAAATTGATTTTTTTCATTAAATCTTTCCATTTTCTAAAATGTAGGTAACAGAGTATAAGTAGATAGCAAACACAGAAAGTCTCATTATCCTGAAGTACATATTAATGGAAGGAATAAATATTATTTTCCTATACAATTTGAGCTCTAATGGCATAAATTATATGACACAAGTTACTTTAAAAAGCACAAAATCTTCTACTTCAATATTTGGTGCAAAATTTAGACCACTAAAAATTAAGATACCAAAGTTATTTGAAGAATAATATGTTGCTAAGTTTTTTTACATGTAGTATCTCATCTAATTGCTCTAAAAACTCTTTAAGAAAAATAATTGTTCCAAATTTACAGATTATGTTAAGAGTTTAAGTCTACAGCTAATGTGTTAGATTTGCCTGAAACAAGATCCATGTTATTAATTATTATAATATATTGCCTCCAAAACAAATCAACCTTGCTTCTAAATATTCAGTTCATTAGAAAGATAGTAATCTCTTGGAAGTATCTCAGAAAAAAGTGATCTAGGAACTCTAGTTCATCCACCTAAACATGAGGTGCTACCCAGTTTTTCTGAATCACTCAGTTCTTATAAAGCATCTGAGGCTTTTTGAGCTTAGTATTTATATAATGTAGATGAGCCAAGACTGAATTAGTTCTATCATAATTTTACTGTGTTCTATGTTCTCAAGAGCTAAAAGCACTAACTTCCTCTAACATGGAATGCATGCTTATATATTTACCTTTCTGAGGAGTGCAGAAATACCAACAGGTATATATGTATGTGGGGGGTATGCCCGAATAACTAAGGGTATCAGTGCAATATAACTTTTAAAGTTTCTGCTCTTTCCCCAAGGAAAATTTTTAATCTATACCTTAGTTTGGTACATATTAACCTATAAATTTCTTTTGCTACAGCTACTATACTGATACCATATTGAGTATTTAGTATGCCTCTCTATTCTCTGGACTGATGTTATACTTCATAATGCTCATAAGTTATCAGAACACACTTAACTCTTGCTCTTCTCTTTCCAAATAGGAAGAGTCAAGATGTAGAAAGAACATTTGATGAGGAAAGCTGGGAAACTAAAGCAAGCCATATTTTGAGGTAATTGTAAGTATGTTCTTGATAGAGTAAGCAGCTTGGTTAAAAGAGCTGTGGTTGATAATAGAAGGAAGCAACAACATGTCCAGGAAAGGATCTTTAAAGTGTCTATTAAGCAGGTAAAAGGAAGACAAAAGATAAATCTGAAATTAATTTAGGAGGCAAATGTGTCAAAATATAATGGGTTGAAATAGCTATTTACCTGTAACAAGTGATATATAACATTTTTTCTTTTCTATGCTTTAGATAAATATCTGCCATTTTTTCTTTAGCCTCTGTAAAATAAGGCTGTTCAGCTGTAACATTTCGAAGCATGCTTAAAGCCCGTTCAGTATCTCCTTGGGCCAGAGCTAGGTCTGCATTAGCAATAGTAACACGCAATTCTTCAGATGTTCCAGAAAATTCATGGATAGCATCTTGCAAAACTTTTGCTGCCTCATGCTGTAAAAATGAAATAAAAATATTCAACAATTTATACTAGAAAGGAGGATGATCTACTGAAACGCAACAAATACTAAATGCTAGTACAGTTATGGTATTTATAAAATCAGTTGATCGTTTCTGAAAAGTACAAAAATTTAAAACTAAACTCAGAGACCAAAATTAGATGAGAACTTAAATATCTTTTAACTGGATAAATATTTTCGCAACTAGCAAAGAGTAGTTACTACAGAGTCACTGCTATTATAGTTCAATAAACATTGAATCTGTACCTAGCATTCTCTTAGCCCGTTACTTTCACACAACTCTCTAAGATAGTTACTATTATCCCCACCTTGTACTAAAGCACTCTAGGTTCACAGTTATAAGTTTAGCAAACAATAGAACTAGAACTCAAACTCAAGCAGCGTAATGTTTTGGCTCGTGATGTGATCCAATCTACAGCCATAACTGTGCATGGCAGCTCTTCATTAAGAAGCAGATTACTTTACTCTGTCCACCAAAATGAGCTATACCTCAGGTGAGGGTTGTACCTCACTTTCAAAGGTCAAAGTGTCACTTAATTTCATATCAACTTTATATCAACTTTATAAGACTTTTTGATTTCAAAAGTGTTAAAATGTCAAAAATTACATCTTAACTATTTATGTGTATCTTCCAAGTAGCTGATATAGTAATTCTCCTTTATCAAAGATATATTCATCAAGTATTTCCTTTGTTTTCTCAATTATTACACTTTCAGTTGGCACTTTTATTTCAGTAGAACTTGCGTGTGGGTGTGTGTGTATCCTTTTAGGAATTTGTAGGATTATAACTACATTAAATTTTTACCTTTCACAGTAGCCAAGGTAATCACACATTATATTATTACATCTCACGGTAGCCAACATAAGCACATTGAGATTTAAAATCATCCATGAGTAAATTGGGTTTTACTTTCAGGGGCTTGTAGAAAGCATGTTTTACTGCAAAGTAATGAAAAACAAACTTTCTGAACTTTACTCCTTGGTCAAGGGATTAATTTTGTTTTTGTTTTTTTCATTTTCTAGTAAAATACACATACTTTCATTACAAAGTTTCAATCAGAGTTGACTCACTTGTTCTCCATTTAAGCGGTGAACTTCCACCAACTCAAGAAAGACTGATAAACGATGGCTTGTATCAACTTCAGTTTTTCTATATTTTGATTTGGAGGACACTCCAATTCTCCTCATTCCTGGTAAATTCATTGCCATATGCAGAGTTTTAATCGCTTCTGCTATTTCTCCCATTTTCTTCTGCGACTGAGCTTTTATCAAATGATATAAAGGATATTCTCTCACCTGAAAAAAATAGTATTTAACAATACTTATTTGAAGTGCCTACAATATCAACACACAATCTATAATGCATCAAATATTAAAATAGTAGTATCATTGGGAACAGTGCATCTGTGAGTATATACACAAGGTCTGGTCTCTGTTCTCTTAATTTCCTAATCACATATCATACTGAATCAGATTCAGGGAAAGAGATACTACCTAGCTTCTTCCTGGAGGACAAAAAAGCTGATCAGGTGCTTCTAGCATAACAGAAAAGAAAATGCAAACAAAGTTTTTAAGACCAGAACATACATCTTAAAAATTCTTTGAATTTTCAGGAAAGGAATTACTTTATTTGGGATTTCTAAATACTGGTAATAGTTCTTAAGTTTTTGCCCTTTCTTTTACATTTTAACTTTAGTATTAAATATTACTACTTTTAATATTAAATATTTCAAGCTGGGCATGGTGGTGCAAACCTGTTTGTCTATTTACAGTCTTGCTATGGTGTCTAGGTTGGCCTCAGACTCCTGGGCTCAAGTGATCCTCCTGCCTCAGCCTCTTCAGTGGCTAGCTATGACTAAGCACACACTGCACACCACCCTTCCCAGCTAATTAGTTTTTTGTTTATTTTTGCAAATTTATACAGTTTTACAACTATACCAAAGGTACATCCAGTTTTTCTCCTTCTGTTTGTGCATTCAAAATTCTTTCTATTAAAAAAATGTATTTAAGGGTAGATATGGTAATGAATGCCTGTAATCCCAACACTTAGGGGACAGAAGCAGAAGGTTCATGAGCCAAAGTCAGCCTGGGCTACATAGTGAGGCCCTGTCTCAAAACCAAACAAAAACAACAAAAATGTGTTTATTAGCAAATTATTATGGGCGAAAGTAGAAAATAGTTGAACATATAAACATTTACTTCAAGGAGGGTAATCTGTCTTAACTGCTGGAGTTTGGAATACTTACGTTAAAATTATAGCTCAGACAAAGTTCCAGAGACTGAGAACACAATTTGAATTTTTCTTGAGACAAATAAACCTGAGCCATCAGGAGATGAGCATCTGCATAAGAGGGACTGTGCTCTAGGCAACGCTGCAGGTTGTTATATGCTGCGTCAATATCACCTAATGAGGGAAACAGTGCATCATTACACTTCAGATGGTTAGGAGGTAGACAGCTGACAGATAAGAGGGATGAGATTGTTTAGTTTATAGAACTCTGGTGTTTAAAGACCTCTGTTCATAAGGCAATGGTTTCACTCCTACCTGTGCTAGTTAGCTCTAGTCCACATGCAGAACAGAACTGTAAGTTAGGCCAGGACTTAGCAAATCAGGAAAGCACGGAAGTTTGGCAATCAATTATCAGGGTTACTGAAAGACCTATAAATGTACCTTTATTTATTTTCCTTCTTAAAAAGGGTTTTCTTAGCAGGACATGGGGGTACATGCCTATAATCTTAGCACTCAGGATGTTGAGGTAGGGGTACTAGCAGTTCCAGGCTGGCCTGGGATACATAGTATAGAACCTGTCTCAAAAAAAAAACCCAAACAAATGAAAAATGTTTTATTTATAATTTTATTAAAATAAGTTGTACAAGACCAGGCACAGTCTGGGAGGCAGAGATTGAGAGGATGGTGGTTTGAAATCCACTCAATGTCTGGACATCATGGCAAACGCCTGTCATCTTAGCTATCTGGGGAAGCACAAATAGGAGGATAATGGTCTAGGCTGACCCAGGGACAAAATAAGACCCTACATCAAAAATAACCAATGTAGAAAGGATTGGTACAGTGGTTCATGTGGTAGAGTGCCTGCTTAGCAAAAGTAAGGCCCTGAGTTCAAAAATAAATAAAGTTGTATAAGATGGACATTTATATGGCTAGAATTCCGTACTCTCACTTACAGTAACAAAAAGGATATAGTCTAATAATCATTTGTATCTGGGCATTTTATTAATATACATAAAAAAGGCATAGGATATATTCCAGAGATTCAGAAATATGAGTTATAAATTTAAAATGCCTTTCAACACCAACTGAAATAGAAAACATTTTGGAACATATCAATTTGCCTAATATACTGTCTTTACTAATAACTGGTGTCAACTCCTATAAGTCCCTATGACCAATGTTGTCTTTCTTGAAAAACAAATTATGTGTATATGTGTACTCTCATTCGCTTTTAAAAAGTTTCCTCATGCCCTGAGTTCAATCCCCAGTACCAGCAAAGAAAAAGAGAAAAAAAATTCCTCTTGCCTGAACTCTCCCAGATGCCCTTGATCCACTAAAGCATGTACATCTGCCTTGGAGTGCTTCCGCTTATTCTCAAATAAATGTTCTGTCTTTAAAGCATTTCTCTGTTGTTTTTTAGGTTGACAAGTGAAAAGTCTTCTAGGAAGGGGAAAGATTAATGTGATACTTGGAAGAAACAGGCTATAATTAAAGGGGAAAAGTACTTACAAAAAGAGTTACAGAGTTTATAAATAAGGCACTAAAGAAAATGATTGGGATTAGACTCATTCTTTCTTCAAGGGTGAGAGGAAGGGTTTGAGGCATTAGCCCTAGAAGGCAACTAAATGTAGAAAAATGAGAAATGGATCATTGCTACTGGAAAAATACATCATGTAACCAAGTATCAACATCAAATTCTTATTTAAGAGTACTCCAATCTCTCTTGTGAGAAAAATGGAAGGTGTTTGTCTCTTGCATTATTTGTCACTGTCCTGTGCAAAAAAAAGAGCTGGTGTTTGTCTTGTGGTTTCTGGGAAAGTCTAAATCTTGGAATCTCTCTAGTGATAGAAATGCCTGTCTATTGGTGGTACCCACTGCTAGTTTATCCTAAGGATATGACTCAGGATAGAAGCAGACCATGACAGTCAGACCACCCATGTGATTAGATGCCAACCAGATGGGGACTGAGAATTCAGTTTGAGCTTGGGGCCAGTATTTAATGCATGTTTATTTAATAAAATCCAATACAAGTTCTGGACACCAAACCACGTAAGCATCCTTGGGGGTAACACCCTACAAAACAGTCACACTTTGATGTGGATGCGTAGGGAAGATGGTATCTCCTGAGTCCGCAGGAGATGACAACGGAAGCTTTACATTTGGGAACCATCCAGATCTTATCCCATGCATCTATGCCTTTTGCTGTTCAGGTTAATATCCTGTTGCCATAATAAAACTGTAATTAAAAGTCTAGTAATTTCCTGAGTTTTATGAATCATTCTAGTAAGTTACTGAACTTGACGGGGCTTGTAAGAGTCCTCAAATTTGCAGCCACTTTATCAGACGTGCAGGGGGCCCAGGGACTCTCCAAACTCCAAACTGAAGACTCGTATCTGAAGTGAGGACAATCTTATAAAGAGGAGGACTGTGCCCTTGTCCAGCTAATTGGAGTCACAAGTCATTGCAGCCAGCTATCAGTTAGCAAAAACACTACTATTTAGCACTAGTACTTCCAAAGATGAAACAAACTTTTGAGTTCATGTAGGTTTTTTTTTCCCAAACTATTTAAAATTGAAGTCCAAAAAACAGTGAAGGCAACCTCTTAAGTCTCTCCATTATATAAAAGAAATAAGTATATATGAAAATAACTGTAAGTTGGTATTTTCAGTTCTGGTGAAAAATGCATATTTAAAAATACTTTGTATTTACTACTATTCAAAGAAAAATAAAATTCTGGTATTTATGTACTATAAAGGAAGCAAAGTTAAGTATACAACAGGATCATATTTTTTAGCTATATATATACATGCACAGAAACTAAGCAATAATTCATTGATACATTTCAGCAGGGCCTGAAATTTGGCAAAAATTGCATTTGGCCATACCAGAACTCAACAATTACGAATAAATAAAGGTAAATACTTATTACCGGTTCCCAGTACATATAAAAGACTTTTTTTTAAAAACAGTAATACAACTGCATTTTCCCAGATTCACTTAAGACACAAAATTATAGTTAACTTTTTAAGAATTAAAACAGTAAGTTGCAAGTTTTACAATTTTCTTTCAGGTTCAGGTTAAAATCACTTATCTAGTCATATGCAAAACGTGGATTTTACTTGACTATTCATATATATGGCATGCATAATTTGTTTATACTTGTTTTTACCACTATCAGCATTGAGAGTTATTTTACATGTTTTAAGGTATACTCTACCTGACAAATATTTCACTTTTGCTATTAAGAACACAGCTTGCAGAAGACCTGGCACAGTTCTTACTATAGTCTCCAAGACTGAGGTACAACGTCTGAGAAGTGGAGAAAGAGGTTGCCCAAGACTTGCAGGCTAAACAAAACAAATCAGATTATTTTATAAGTTTAAGAGTATTTAGCTTAAATCATTTCAACTTCTTTAAATTTCTATAGCACTTAAAATAGTCTATGGTGGTTTCCTATTTGGTTTTGCTCCTTTATAGGACCAGGGGACTTTATGTGTCTTGAAGATCAGAATTTTAAACTTCTTTGTTTAGCAATAGATACAAAGTAAATCCTTTAAAAATCTGGTTTTTGTTTTTTGTTTTTTTTTTCAGGAGAACAGAAAAATAGTGAAAGTATAAATGATGGTAGGAACCTGATAATGTTCTTTGCCACCTGCTAAGAATTAGTAATTGAGAACAACTATCATTTTTGGGTGGGTCCAGTTTGAGACAAGGTCTTGCTATGTAGTGCATGCTGGCTCTACTCAAAATCCTTTTGCTTCATCCTCCCGAGCGCTGAGATTGCAGGAGTGTATAACCACACTGGGTTGAGAACAGCTATTACTTTTACTACAGTTTCTATGTGCAAAGACAACGTTAGTCTATAGACAATCCTTAATATTACACTTATTTAATTAGAATTCAAAAGAAAACTTTATCTATATGAAAGGGGCAATGAACTAGTAACAGAACTGGGGAAACAGTTCTGCCTTTCAGAAATTTCCCCATGGAAACAGCATTATAAATGCTGACTAGGTTATAACAAGCTGCTATATGTTAAGGGAAAGACAGTATGTATAGTTGGATGAGAGATTCAGTTATCACTCAATACACTATTTCTTGCTCCACCTACAGTCTATTCTCAGCACAGCTGCCAAAGAAATCCTTTAAACCATTCTTTTAAAACACTGACTTTGATCATGCTGGAACCCTTCTGGTGACTCCCAGTAGAACTCGGGACTGAAACAAGAGAAGCTACAACAATGGCTATGGATCTACCTTGTCTGGTTTCCTGTGTGATAACTTCATCTCTGACGACACCCTCCTCCTCACTCAGTCCCTGCCATACCCATCTCTTCGCACTTCTGGAACAACTGTTTCCTTTGTTTGAAACAACATATTTTCACATGCCCCCTTCAAGACTTTGCTCAAGTCTTAGCTCTTAAAAAGGCCTACCCTGACCAATTTACCTACAATTTCCATTACTCTTACCCTGTTCTATTATTTTCCTCTGTTCTCTTCTGATATATACTCAACCTTCTAATCACATAAACTGTTTCCTCTTGCTGGAATACATGCCTGGGGGCAGTGGTTGTAATTTTGTTTGTTTTTTTACACACTAGTATTTCCCCAGCTCTAAGCAGAGAAGGTATGTTATAAACACCTGTAGAATTGATCCAAAATGCTGAATGAATACTGAAAAATGCATTCCTACTCCCAAGCAACTGAAAATAGGTTATGACTGGAAAGACTGAAATCCATTTCACCAAATGTGATTCTAAGAGAGGTTAAATTAGAAAATAGTCATGAAAACCTAGAAAAAACCATAATAATCAATAAAACACAGATGACCACTATGAAGAAAAATCATTTTAACTTCCCTTGTTAAAATAGTTACTGAGGCTGTAAATCAGGGAAAATGTTAAGAATTTTGCTTTTAGCAATGAAGGACTAAATAGTGTCCTCTGCCTAACATCCCATGTTAAAATGTGACCCAAGAATAACAAAGTTGTGTTGTTTATATTAATAAAGTACAGATTAAGGGATGCATATCAATGTGAAAAGAACTCTTTCATAATGCAACATAGGATTCTGATTTAGTTCTACTCAAAATTATTACTGGTTGGATGACACCATTATGGTTGCCTCAGAGCTGGATAAAGCAGATGGCACATGATAACATTCCATATAAAACAGATGACAAGATCTAAAAGGAATATGACAATCTGGAATTATAGGATGAAAATGAGAAGATAAAAGGTCATAGAAATAAATGTAGAGTCCTACATTTGAGTCCAAAGGTACAAGAAGTAACAGATCTAAGATATTTGTTAACTGTTAACACAATAGGGGTCAATCATGTAATGTGATTTACACACAGCACATGAAATTACCCCAGATGGACATCACAGAATGAGGAGAAAAAGGTCATCATTACATTTGGCAGGTCAAACCATATTTGGAATTGTGAGCTTAATGAGAAACAGACAAAACAAAGGATATCTTCACAACAAAGGAAAGGTTCACAACAAAGGTTCAAAAATAATGTCATTAAAAAATAAGTGGTTGTGGTAGAGTACCTGCATAGCATGCATAAAGCCCCAGGTTTGATCCACAGAACCACCAAAAAAAAAAAAAAAAAGTTGAAAACCTAGAATTTTTAGGGGAATATGAACATAATTTCCTAAAATCTACAGATCTATTTTATGAATGATGGATAATCCTTCTTTGGACTAAGTAACTGGACTTGCTCTATGTCACCCCAAGGAGCAGAAGGAGAACCAGAAAATGGCTATTACTATTATTTTTTTTTACCACAAAGCAAAGTTTGATTTTAGCATAGGACACGCATTTACTAATCATGGCTCTGAAGTAAGAAGTCCATTTTTGACTGCATCCAGAGGTGAAATGGCACTTGATGGTAATATTACAAAACAGATTCAAATAAACAGTGGCTATCAAATAATTTTTGATAATTCCTCTAAACTGAAGATCTTAAGATTTAAAAAATTACAAATAAGTATTTACCAATCAATACTGTTATTAGTTTGCAGCATTCCTATGAACATTCTGATTATAAAGTATTTCAACTAATACAGTTACAAATACTATCATTTTAAGATGCTGATACAGTCTAACATTAAAGATAAATTATTAATGCCTTTTACAAAACTTATAAATGCACCCTTGAAAATAAGCTCTGGAATTACTTACCTGCACTGGACAGAAATTCAGATACTCTGTAATAACTTCTAGCAAGAAATCAGGATTTAGCTTCTCAAAATACTCTACACCAAGAGGTAAATCTTCTAAATGTGAGAAATGAGTATCCAAGACATCATTTAACAAATTTATAACTTCTTCTTGTCGTTTGTTTTTCTTCATAGCAAGAATTGCATGCAAATAGATTAATTCCTGGAATATAAGTAGTTTCATAAGATATTCCATTGAGTTGTAAATCCATTTATATCTGGTTAGATTTTGAATGTATCTAATATTATTTATATGTAATTATTCAAACTTAAGTATGAGCTTGGATGGACTTTTAGAAAGAGAAGAATGTTTATTAAAGTCTAGCTTTGTAAGGAGGTAAATTAACAATTGCAATTACACTAATTAAAAGGTACACTAATTAAAGTTAGTGTACTTTAGTCTTCTAGAGCTAGTACTAAATAAGAACAACACTGATTTAAAATTTCCAGTTTTATAAATAGTAGTTGCAATCTACCATCTGATAAAATACTATACCGGAGATTTCCCCATTGACTGCTGAATTTCATTAAAGAATTCTAGCTGCTGATCTGCATCCTTAAACAGCCCTTCTATTAATTGACAGCGGATAAGTCCTAAAACCAACCAAGGAAAGAGAAACAAGCAGTCAAGGCTCGCACCAATTCATGCATGTAAACATCAACCTAACAGGAACAACAATACAACATATTTTCCTCATCACAATACTTAAATAATTTAAAAACTCAAGAGAGAAAAAAAACAAAAGAAATTAAAAGGGCTAGCCTTAAACCTACATAATATCATTTATAACACAATTCACAACCTATCAAACTCTCTTATAAAAATCTATTTGTCCAAGATATTATTTGTGAACTAAAATTTTTATTTTTTAAAGCTATGACTTGCTTCTGTTGGGGGTAGTACAGAAGTTTTAGAAATCATGAAGGATCTTTTCTCCTTTAATGACAGGCCCTTAGGGACAGTGCTCCCTGCATCTCTAATAGGAGCCTACCAGTGACTGCAGAGACACTCGTCTCATGAAGAGCCATGGCAGTTTTGTACCACTTCCAGGCCTCTTTAACTCGGCCTTGGAAAATCATCTGGCACCCCAGTTCTGTAGCAATGTCTGGTTGCTGAGGGGTTAAACTGAAAGCTCTTTCCAGTAATGTTTGAATTTTTTGAAGAATGAGTTGATTCCGTCCACACTGAAAAGAAAAAAGTAAAAGTTAGACTAGAAGTCAAACATTTCTACTCAGAGTAAAGGACCACTTTTTTCAAAGGTTACTTGTATTTCACAGGACTGAAGAAAAATGAATAATATTATTTAATAAAGAAAAAGTTCCCTATTAGCTATCTACATATGCGCCAAGAAAGAGTTTATAACCTCCAAGAACTTATATATCCTAATGAGTAGTGCTTTTATAAAATTGCTATCTGTCTTGAAACACGTACTTCAAATGATGTTACATGATCTCATGATCATTTTACAAATAGACATATATAACTAAGTTAAAAAGAGAAGTAGGGTGCTTTCCCCTGAAGAAAAGCTGTGCCACCAGTGAAGCTATTTTAGAAGATCTTGCCTTGGCGGGGCCCAGTGGTCTACACCTGTAGTCCCAGCTATTTGGGATGCAGAGATCAGGAGGATCATGCTTTGAGGCAAACCCAGGCAAAAAGTTAGTGACACTCCATCTTCACCTATGGCTATGGTGTACCTGTCACCCCAACTATATAGGAGGACACTGGTGGGATTGCAGTTCAAGGCTGGCCTTGGGCAAAAATGTAAGTTCCTACATGAAAAATAACTTAAAAAAAAGGGCTGGGGCAATGGCTCAAGTGATAAAGCAAATGCCTAGCAAGCTTAAGACCCTGAGTTCAAATTCAAGTACTGCATTATATCTTCTTGGAAAAAATTTTAAGAAATGACAATGTTGTTTAAATAAGTACACAACTTTTTGAATATAACTTTTAACAGTAAAATGCCTATATGAGTATTTGAATAAATTGAGAGGAGGATCCAAGATGGCGACTGGGGCACACAGGCAGACAGTGTGAGCTCCATGAATCAGGCACCTTGCTGAGATGCTGAAGCAATGCTTGGTGGAGGTGAAGCACCGAGGAGAGTCAAAACTTTGATGCCCTGGACCTCTAGCCCGTGGAAGGCTTCTCCATGCCACGTTATACTGAGAGAACAGGTGGACCGCCACTGCCAGCCACCGGCTCCAAACCTGCTTGGGAGATGGTTGGCAGACCAAACAGGTGAGCGCCAAGCATCATGCGGTATTCCCCTAGTCACCTCTGGGATAAACCAGCATAGCCCCCTGGGGAGACTGACCACCCCCCCCCCAACAAAAAAAAACTGAACAATAAATGAACTGAAAACTAGCACACAGTGGAGGGGTGGAGTTGCCGAAAGTGCACCGGAGAAGCAGGGAGGGGCAAGGAGCTGACCTTGTGGGAACTATCAGTCAACAAATGGCTAGAAAGGCAGCAGGTCCGACAGCAAGCGGGTGATAGGCCACTGCCTGAAGTAGGGCAGGTGTCAGACCATAGGACTCATCTCCTGGGCCAGTGAGCAGCACCCAAAGTCAGATGGCTCTCCAGGGTTGAGGAACAAAAGTGAACCATTACAACCCACTGACAGCAGGGGGCCAGCTGACAGATCATTGACCTTGCCCCAGGGAAAAGGGGTGAGGCAAAGAAACAAGCCCCCAATAAACAAGTACAGCGAAAAGCCAACTCCAAAGCAAGACAGCTGGTGGACTGCAGAACTGCGAAAAGCCAACTCCAAAGCAAGACAGCTGGTGGACTGCAGAACTGATGTCCTGAACCTGAGGACAGTATGCAGGCTAAAGCTGCCACACCTCATGGGGGAAGGGGCAGACCAAGCAGCTACTGCTGAAAGACAGAACAAAAAAAAACACTACCCACACAGGCCGACCATGTGGCAAGACTACCACAGAGCTTCTGCTTAAATACCAACACCAGGACTGGATGCTGGAGGAGTTACACCAGAACTTAAACTAAGACTGAAATTCTATTGTTCCTGAACCTGGAATTTTTTGTTTGTTCATTTCTCTCCACTGGTTTCTTTGGGTTTTTTTGTTGTTGTTGTTAGCTTTATTATTGTGAATTAGTTAATACTAAATTACACCCAGACCAGGGACAGAAATAGCACAAACATACTTACCTAAAAACCCATTACAGACACAAAAGAAAATTAAACCAAGGAAAAGAAAACAGGAGACTGAAACCACCAACTAACTATCAAGAACATAGCTGCACAGTACTAAGTGGAGTGATGGGAAGAAGAAAAAGGGAAACCATTCTCCACAAAGTAATTTAATAGAGGATTCAGAGGGAAATGAAGAAAATGGATTCCCAGTTCCACACTCCAACAAAACAAAGATAAATGACACCAAGAAATCCAACGATGTCCACAACAACACACACAAAAAAGAAATCCTGCAAGTAATCACTGTGAACTTCATGGAGATGTTACTAGACATGGTTAACCAAAATGTACAAGAGGCACTCAAGAAATTTCAAGATTCTCTCCCCCCCAAAAAAAAGAATATGAAAAGACACAGAAACAAATAAATGAACTCATAGGAGCTCTAAATACACACCAAAGTGAAAGAGGACACTATAAATAGAGAGATAAATGACACCAAGAAATCCAACGATGTCCACAACAACACACACAAAAAAGAAATCCTGCAAGTAATCACTGTGAACTTCATGGAGATGTTACTAGACATGGTTAATCAAAATGTACAAGAGGCACTCAAGAAATTTCAAGATTCTCTCCCCCCCCAAAAAAAGAATATGAAAAGACACAGAAACAAATAAATGAACTCATAGGAGCTCTAAATACACACCAAAGTGAAAGAGGACACTATAAATAGAGAGATAAGTGAATTAAAGACAAAAATAGACAATATTAAAGAGGAAATGACCCATCATATGGAAAAACTCAGAAAAAACAATGAAACAGAAACACAAAACCCAATGGAAGGCCACTGCAGCAGACTAGAAAAAAACAGAAGACAAAATCCCAGAATTTGAAGATAAAATGGAAATTAAAGGAAAAACTGAAGAGCTATTAGTCAAACAAGTCAAGACCTGTGAAAGGAATATGCAAGAACTCACCAACTCCATCAAAAGACCAAATATGAGAACCATGGGTGTTGAAGAAGGAGAGGGGGTGCAAGCAAAAGGAATGGGTAACATATTCAATAAAAATAATAACAGAAAATTTCCCAAATCTAGAGAAAGTTATGCCCATTCAGACACAGGAAGTCTCCAGACACCAAACAGACTTGACCAAAATAGAACCACCCCACAACATATTATTATTAAAACAACAAGCACAGAGAATAGAGAAAGAATATTGAAGGCTGTAAGAGAGAAAAAACAAATAACATACAAAGGTAAACCCATCAAAATCACAGCAGATTTCTCAACAGAAACATTAAAAGCAAGAAGGGCATGGAGTGAGGTATTCTGGGGACTGAATGAAAATAATTTCAACCCTAGGATACTCTACCCAGCAAAACTATCATTCAAAATAGATGCAGTAATAAAATCTTCCATGATAAGGAGAAACTAAAACAATATATGACCACCAAGCCACCACTACAAAAGATTCTCCAAGGAATTCTACACACGAAAAATGAAAGCAAACAAAACCATGAGAGAACAGGTAGCACCAAACCACAGAAGAAGAAAAGACAAGGGATCAGAGAGTAACACTGACTCAGCTGCACACAATCAAACCCTTACACAACAAAAACAACTAAATGACAGGAATCACCACATACCTATAAATATTAACACTGAATGTTAGCAGATTTAAGTACCCCATCAAAAGACACCATTTGACAAACTGGATTAAAAGGGAAGAGCCAACAATCTGCTGCCTACAGGAGACCCACCTCATCAACAGAAACAGGCACTGGCTGAGAATGAAAGGCTGGAAGAAGATCTACCGAGCTAATGGCCCCCATAAATAGGCAGGAGTAGCAATACTCTCGGACAAAGAGACTTCAAGCCTACATTGATCAAATGAGATAAAGAAGGACATTCCATACTAATAAAAGGGGAAATACACCAAAAGGAAATAATAATTATCAACCTATATGCACCCAACGTCAGTGCACCAAATTTCATCAAACATACTCTGAAGGACCTAAAAGCATATATAGACTCCAATACAGTGGTAGTGAGAGACTATAATACCCCCATATCATCAATAGATAGGTCATCCAAACAAAAAATCAATAAAGAAATTCTAGAACTAAACCACACCATAGATCAAATGGACCTAGCTGATGTCTACAGAATATTTCATCTAACTTCTGCACAAAATACATTCTTCTCAGCAGCACATGGAACTTTCTCCAAAATTGATCATATCTTAGAGCACAAAGCAAGCCTCAGCAAATATAAGAAAATATAAATAATCCCATGCATTCTATCTGGTCACAATGCATTAAAACTAGAAATCAACAACAAAAACAAAGCAGAAAATATGCAAACAATTGCAAGGTGAACAACACATTGCTCAATGATCTGTGGGTCATTGATGAAATAAAAGAGGAAATTAAAAGGTTCCTGGAAGTTAATGAAAATGAACTCAGAACCTATGGAAGAGAGCAAAGGGAGTCCTAAGAGGAAAGTTTATAGCCATGAGTGCATGTATTAATGACCTAATGGTACATCTCAAACTCCTAGAAAAACAAGAACAAGCAAAACCCAAAACAAGCAGAAGGCGAGAAATAATAAAAATAAGGGAACGAGACAAGGGTGCCCACTATCCCCACTCCTATTCAACATAGTACTGGAATTCCTAGTCAGAGCAATTAGGGAAGAAGAAGAAATAAAAGGAATACAAATAGGTAAAGAAACTGTCAAAATATCCCTATTTGCAGACGACATGCTCTTTTACCTTAAAGACCCAAAAAACTCTACCCAAAAATTCCTAGACACCATAAATAACTACAGCAAGGTGGCAGGATACAAAATCAACTTACAAAAATCATTAGCATTTCTGTACACCAACAACAAACAAACTGAGAAAGAATATATGGAAACCATTCCATTTACAATAGCTTCAAAAAAAATCAAATACCTAGGAGTAAACTTAAAAAATGACCTCTACAAGGAGAGCTACATACCCTTGAAGAAAGAGATTGAGGAAGACTACAGAAGGTAGAAAGATCTCCCATGCTCATGGACTCGTAGAATAGCACAGCAAAAATGGCTACACTACCAAAAGCAATCTACATGTTCAACAAAATTCCCATCAAAATCCCAACAACTTTCATCACAGAGATTGAAAAATCTACCCTAAAGTTCATTTGGAAACATAAGAGACCATGAATAGCCAAGGCAATATTCAGCAAAAAGAGCAATGCTGGAGGTATCACAATACCCAACTTCAAACTATGTCACAAAGCAATAGCAATAAAAACAGCACAGTACTGGTACAAAAACAGACATGAAGACCACTGGAACAGAATAGAGGACCCAGATATGAATCTACACAGCTATGCCCACCTTATTTTTAACAAAGGCGCCAAAAACATAAGATCGAGAAAAGACAGCTTCTTTAACAAATGTTGCTGGGAAAAGTGGTTATCTGACTGCAAAAAACTGAAACTAGATCCATGCCTATCATCCTGTACTAGTATCAACTCAAAATTGATCAAGGACCTTAATATCAGACCTGAAACTCTGAAGTTAGTACAGGAAGGAGCAGGAAACACTCTGGAAGCAAACAGGTATAGGCAAGGACTTCCTCAATAGAACCCCAGCAGCTCAGCAAGTAAGAGAAAAGATGGACAAATGGGACTTCATAAAATTAAAAAGCTTCTGTACAACAAAAGAAATGGTCTCTAAACTGAAGAGACCACGCACAGAGTGGAAGAAAATATTTACCAGCTATACATCAGACAAAGGACTGATAACCAGAATATGCAGGGAGCTCAAAACACTAAAGTCCCCAAAACTCAATGAACCAATAAAGAAATGAGCAACTGAACTAAAAAGAACTTTCTCAAAAGAAAAAATTCAAATGGCCAAAAACCACATGAAAAAATGATCACCATCTGTAGGCATAAAGAAAATGCAAATCAAAACCACACTAAGATTCCACCTCACCCTTGTTAGAATAGCTATCATCAAAAACACCACCACCATGTGTTGGTGAGGATGTGGGGAAAAAGGAAACCTCATACACTGCTGGTCAGAATGCAAGCTAGTCCAACCACTCTGGAAAACAATATGGAGGCTTCTTAAAAAACTAAAAATAGATCTGCCATATGATCCAGCAATCCCAGTCCAAGGATATACCCAAAAGAATGTGACACAAGTTACTCCAGAAGCACTTGCACACCCATGTTTATTGCAGCGCAATTCACAGTAGCCAAGTTATGGAAACAACCAAGTTGCCCACTACTGATGAATGGATTTAGAAAATGTGGTATTTATACATAATGGAATTTTATTCAGCCACAAAGAAGAATGAAATTTTGTCATTCACAAATAAATGGATGGAACTGGAGAACATCACCTTGAGCAAGGTTAGCCAGGCTCAAAAGACCAAAAATCTTATGTTCTCCCTCATATATGGACTTTAGATCTAGGGCAAATGCAGTAGTGTGGTTGGACTTGGGTCACATGCTAAGGGGAGAGGCACATACGGGAAGAATGGTGATAAGTAGAAAACCCATAACTTGAAAGTGTTTGATGTCCCCACTGCAGCGGAGGTAAAACGACAGAGGTCAATATGGGAAGGTGACAGGGAAGTAGTGAAGAGGTCAGGTAGAGATGAATCAATTCAGGTTGTAATACACTTGTGCATGGAAGCAATCCTAGGAATCTCTCTTGAGATAGCTACCCTTATTCAACTAGCAAAAATGCTTTGTCTTTCCTATTATTGTTTATGTCTTCTCTTCAATAAAACTGGAGAAAAGGGCAGAACAGGTTCTGTCTGGAAGTGAGGGGGTTGGGGGAAGCTGGAGGGTGCAGGAGGCAGGGGGCAGAAATGGCCCCAAGAATGTGTGTACATATGAATAAATGAATACAGGAAAAAAAAAAAGAAAAAAGTATTTGAATAAATCTAAATAACTTTTGTAAGCTTATTAAAAACCTGATGAAAATAAAGTGGCAACAGACAAATGGAAAAGACAAACACCCTTCTTAATTCAGACTTTTGGATTCTCTTCCTTTAAATTTCATACATCTCACAATCTTTAGTTTGTAAATAACAGAATTCAGTTTGTATACAAAACTTTGCAATTAATGTCCTTAATTTTGTCAACTTTCTTTTGCTAATTATTTTACTTATTTATGTATATTTTTTCTTTTTTTTCATAAGTTTAATTTTTCAGACTTCTCACTCTTGTGCTGGTTTTGAGATTCTGCCAGTTTTTCTAGTCCATTTCTAATTACTTTCTTTTTATTGGGCATTTATAATAAAAAGTATTCTTTACTATTGTAGCAAGATTTTTTTCCCACCAAAACAGTCTATTAACCACTTCAAAACTTTTTTCAAATAGTTTTATAAAACAACACAAAAGCAGAGAACATAAATCCTATGTCCTGATAAAACAGCCATTTTCTGTTTCCTTTGCTTAGAAGGCACTTTCTTATCTTTAAAGGCTTGAGTACCCCTTCCTCCATGAAGTCTTCTAGAGACTTCTTAAAGTTGGAAACCATATCTTCTGTTAACCACCTTTCTTAAAAATGTATCACATATTTCGATACATATCAATTTCACCTTCGGACACGTGCTTTTCAAATATAAACTTTAGTGACTAATTTCAAACTATTATACAGATCAGCGCTGTAGTAGGCAATCTTACAGTTCTGCTGAAGGCTACTGTAATCTTATAAAAAAGTTGCGCATTCTGTGGTTCCATGGTATACAATGCATTTCCTAAGTTTTCCAGCTTGGTGGTAGCCTAAAAGAAAAGTAATCGGTATTTAATTTAAAACATCCTAAGAAAAAAGAACACTATACATGCACATATGCACGAACACAACATACTCCTACTCATACTTTAAGTGACCTTTGACTTTTTTACATTTTTCTTCCCATGAAATCTTGCATGATGTTAGACATATCAAAAATTACTTTAAAATATCAGTAATTATACATAAAGAATTCTCAAGGTCTAGAATGTTTCTTTAGTATTTGTATTGACTAGTAATCTCTGGATAGGTAAAGACACCCATAGTATTTAATTAGTATACATACCAACAACAGTTGTTTATAAACAACTGTTTATAAATATGATGAATATCAAATTCATAAACAGTATTATATGATATCACCCCTTGAATTGCCCATAGAGATGAGTTTATATTTAAAATGTTTTCTACAATAGAAAAATCATTAGCCAGACATACTAGTTGACTTCTGTAATCCTAGATATTCAGGAGTCAGAGATCAGGAGGATCACATTTTGAGGCCAGGCCAGGCAAAAAGTTGGCAATACCTCATCTCACCCAATAAAAGTTGGGTGTGGTGATCCACATTTGTCATCCAGCTAATGGGAAGCATAAATAGGAGGATGGTGTTCCAAGCTAGCCTGGACAAAAAGCAAGAACCTATCCCAGAAATAACTAACATAAAACAGGCTAACAGTGTGGCTCAAATGGTGGAGGACCTGCTTAGCAAACACAAGGTCCTAAGTTCAAATCCCAGTGTGGCCAAAATAAATAACTCATTAAGGTAGTTAGTGTAAGTAATGTTTTTTTCAGTGTTGGGAATCAAACCCAGGACCTTACAAATGCTAGGCAAACACTCTACCTCTGAGCTACCTCCCCAGTCCCAAGGTAGTTATCGTAAGTAAATTTTTTTTAGGGTTGAGAATCACACCCAGGACCTTGCGGATGTTAGGCAAACATTCTACAATAGCCCCTAATAATTTTAAAATAAGAAAAATTTAGAGAGGATCAAGATAACCACACAGAACATAATACAAATCCACTACTTGTAATAATGCTATTTGCTTCAGATTGGATTTTGGCACTCTATTATCCAGTGTACAGTCAATGTGCTCATTACTGCAGAAACAGATGTTCCTTATTATAAGGTAAAACGCGATTTCATCCTAACCCCATTTAACTTATACAAACTAAAATTGTGAAAATATTATAAATCTTATCTTTCATATATACTCTTTTATATCCAGTATCACTGATTATTAATCTGTGACAGCACAGGAACTATGTATTTAAAAAAACCCACAAATACTGTAATTAATAATTTAAGGAATTTTCTGGGGTAATTTTCACTGTATAATATTTTGCTTCACTAGTTGATACAAAAAGCAAACCTCCTTGACGGTGTTATTTCTGGTAATCAACTAAAACCACTATGTTAGAACTTTCAGCTGGAGATGAACCGCAGTGGTGGAGCATTTGTTTAGCATAAGCAAGGCTCTTGGTTCGATCTCCAGCACCATGGGGAAAGAAAAAAGAGGACTTCAACACATGCATGTATTTGTGCAATGAAATATATGTATTTTTGTTTTGTTTTTTGTGAGGCAGGGTCTTACTATTATATAGCTCAGTGTGACCCTGAACCTCTGTGACACAGACTGGCCATAAATTGTGATCCCCTGCCTCAACGTCCTGAGTGAGGATTACTAGCATGCACCACCACGCCTGGTTGAAATATAATTTAACATAGGAAACTTAATACAACTTACCTTCTCTATGTCCCCTTCCCTACACAAATAGTAAAGAGCCAGCATTCTTAGTGCTTCTACATTCTGATTATCTTGAAGCAGAAGCCTGCAGGAAAACATTTCAATTAATATTGAAATAAAATTGCCTATTTTTTTTTGAGGTCTTGAAGGCTTAAAGGCTCGTGTGACTATTCCACTACTCAAGCAAGTAGTTTTAATTAGCAAAATGACAACTGCATTATTTAAGGTAAAATAAAGTTTCTGAAATTTAGTTTTTAACGTGCTTTAAACATATGAGTACATTGAACAAGTCTCATTAAATCTTGTGACAATCCTAATGAAAGAATTAGCTAACTATATACAATAGTAAACTAAAAGTTTAATTCACCTTGACCAACCTACTTTATTAAAGGAATTCCAAGAATGCCAAGATGGAGCAAACATTAAAAAGAAAAACTTACTGATGCTATTCATAACATTAAAACAGAATTTCTATGTTATAAAACCAAATTACAAAATATCAGGGAAAATATCCTATTAGTAACTAGAAAAAAAATTTTTTTATTAACCAAAACTGGGCAATATCATATTATGGAGCTATGTACATAACTAGATTCCAAGTGATTCTTGTCAAAGCACTTCCACTACAACTGTTCTGGTTCCTGCCACCAGCATTTCTCCCTTAGACTATGAAAATAACTTGAAAAATGGTTTCCCTGCTCCCTTCTCCACATACTGCTCTCAAAACAGAACAGTGCTTCTTTGGGACTTTTATTTTCTACTGATTTCTCATTTCAGAATAAAAATCAAAATGCTTACAATGATGGACAAGACCCTTCATGACTTGGCACCAGCTTCCTTCCTCCCAATCCCCCTGTAGCCCAGGGCCTACTCATCTCTCTTACTCCTTCCCACTGCTCAGCCAAATGACATCTGCTCCCACTTCAGGGTCTTTCTACTTGTGTTTCCTTTATTCTGCAGTCTTCTCCCAGGTGACTGCATGGTTCTTCCCTTACCTTCCTCAGGTATTGGCTGAAATGCCATCTTCTTGGTAGGGCCTTTCCTGACCATTTCATACCATCAAATTTCAACACCCCATATTTTAATTTTCCTTCTTTATCTTCTCTCCATAGCACTTGCAACTGTCTAACTTACTGTATAATTTACTTGCTTGTGTTGCTTAGTATATGCTTCCTCTCACATCAATATAAGTTTTGCAAGGGCAGGGTTATTTTTGTTTGTCTAAGAAAGTGTCTGTCTTAGAAGAGGTACTCAGTTACTAATATAAAACAACAAAAAAATGCAATTTTACATATTTCTTCAATTCTATGCTGTTTAGAAAAATCAATTCTACCTGGTCTGAAAGAAACTTCAATTCATTGCTGCTTTAAGAAAATATTAGGCCAGGCTCAGTGTCATACCTGTAATCCCAGTTACTTGGGAGGTGGAGATTGGGAGATCTAAAGGTTCCAGCCCATCCTTAACCAAAAAGTTAGTGCAACCCAATCACAACAAAACAAGATGGGCAAGGTGGTATGAAGCTGGCACTCCAGCTGATAGGACAGTATAAGTTAGAGGATCGTGGCTCTGGGCAAAAAGTGTGACCCAATTTGAAAAATAACCTAAAACATAAGGGCTGAGAAATAGCTCAAGTGGAAGAGTGTCTGTCCACCAAGTTTAACACCCTGAGTTCAATTCTTAGTACTATAAAACAAACAAACCAACAGCCTGATGACAAACCATAAGTTTTCTTTTTCTCATGATTATAACCAGATCCATAGTCTTTTGATTTTATTTATTTATTTTTTTTTACTTAACCTTTGTGCTGTCTCAACTGTTTGGTCCCAATCCTGCAAGGCTAATTGTAATTTCATTTTCTTTACAAAAGCAGGAAGGAAACTTGGAAAGTTCACAATGATCTGGTTCACAGTCTCCAGAGCACCTGAATAATTTTGGCGCATCTCAAGGCACTGTACCTAATGGGAGGAAAAAAGTAACATCAAAACTATGATCTTATGTATAAAGGAACTCACAACCCAGAGCAGGTAGAATTCTAGGGTTTAATATTTTCTCACTTTTCTGTAAGGAGAATATAGCACTTTAATAGCCAGAAAAAAACAAAACAAGTTTTTATCAACCCACATTTTAAAACACCATTGAAATATAAAACTATTTTGTATAAGCAATTTTAAATTACATTTTTAAATATAACTGGATAAACATTTAAAAATATTCTTGTAAGAGAATACAAGATGACAACTGGTACACAGCAGCAGACCACATGATCTCCACGAACCAGGGACTTTGCTGAGACACTGGATACACACTTGGCTGAGATAAAACAGCAGGGAGAGCCAAAACTTCAGCACTCTGAACCCCTAGCTCATGGCAGGCTTCTCCATGCCAGGATTTACTAACAGAACAGCCGGCGCTGCATGGCAAGCTCCGCCCCATAAGCCAGCGGAGCCGCTGCTCTGCAGGCCCTGGGATCGCTGCTCCTCTAGCCCCCACTCCTTAGCAGCGCCAGGCCAGAGATCCACAGGTCAGCACGATCTACGGCAGACTGTGCCCCTCAGGCCTGAGAAGCCCATGATCCACAAGCCCACATGATCTCCCCCGCCTGCACCCCGCAGACCTGCGCTCCAGAGACCCACATGATCTCTGCTCTGTCGGGCCTGCGCTCCACAAGCCTGCTAGATGGCCTCAACGACAGGCCTCCATCCCAGGCCCATGGGACCCTGCCCTGCTGCCAGCCACCACAGGAGGGCTCCGAACCCGCCTAGGAGACAGACATCAGTTGTCTAGTTGCTAAAGGTAACACCAGAACTACTAAGACTGAAATTCCACTGTTCCTGAACTGGTGATTTTTTTTTTTTTTTTTTTGCCTTCCCTTAAAGATTTGGCTATCTGGTTTGCTGTCTGATCGTCCACCATCTCTCCCTGCTGTTTTCCTTGGTTCTCTCTTTTTTTTTTCTTCTATTTCTCTTTCTGTTTTTTCTTCTTCTTCCTTGGTTTTGTTAGTTTCACTATTGTAACTCAGCTAACACTAAATTACACATAGTCTAGGGACAGAAACGATACCAAGTAGAAATATGGGAAGATGAAAATGGGATGGAAACCATTCTCCCCTAAAAAATAAATTAGTAAAGGATTCAGAGGGAAACGAAGAAAACAGATATCCAGATCCAGACTCCAACAAAACAAAGATAGACAATCCCAAGGAACCCAACAAAGCCCACAAGAACATTCTAAAAGAAGAAATCCTGCAAGTAATCACTGAGAATTTCATGGAGATGTTACTACACATGGTCAACCAAAATGTACAAGAGGCACTCAAGAAATTCCAAGAGGACAAAAATAAAGAATATGAGAAAACACAAAAACAAATACATGAAATCATAAGAGCCCTAAATAAATACCAAAATGAACCAAAGAACACCATAAATAGAGAGATAAATGAATTAAAGATGAAAATTGACAACATTAAAGAGGAAGTAACCCATGATATGGAAAACCTCAGAAAAAAGAATGAAACAGAAATACAAAACTAAATGGAAGGCCATTCCAGCAGAATAGAACAAACAGAAGACAGAATCTCAGAACTTGAAGATAAAATGGTAATTAAAGGAAAAACCAAAGAACTATTAGACAAACAACTCAAGACCTGTGAAAGGAATATGCAAGAACTCACTGGCTTCATTAAAAGACCAAACCTGAGAATCATGAGCATTGAAGAAGAAGAGGTGCAAGCAAAAGAAATGTGTGACATATTCAACACAATAATAACAGAAAACTTCCCAAATCTAGAGAAAACTATGCCCATCCAGGTACAGGAAGCCTCCAGAACACCAAACAGATTTGACCAAAATAGAACTACCCCACAACATATTATCAATAAAACAACAAGCACAGAGACTAAAGAAAGAATACTGAAGGCTATAAGAGAGAAAAAAAAGTAACATACAAAGGTAAACCCATCAAAATCACAGCAGATGTCTCCATGGAAACCTTCAAAGCAAGAAGAGCATGGAGTAAGGTCTTCTGGGCAATAAATGATAATAATTTCAACCCTACGATATTCTAGCCAGCAAAACTATCATTCAAAATAGATGTAGCAATAAAAGTCTTCCATGTTAAGCAGAAATTAAAACAATATATGACCACTAAGCCACCACTACAAAAGATTCTCCAAGGAATTCTGCACACAGAAAGTGAAAGCAAACAAAACCATGAAAGGGCAGGCAATATCAAATCACAAGAGAAGAAAAGGCAAAAAAGTAGAGAGTAACACTGATTCAGCTACACAAAATCAAACCCTTAAACAACAAAAACAACTAAATAACAGGGATCACCGCATACCTATCAATACTAACACTAAACAATAGTGGACTTAATTTTCCCATCAAAATACACATATTTGCAAACTGGATTAAAAAGGAAGAGCCAACAATCTGCTGCCTACAGGAGACCCACCTCATTGACAGAAACAAGCACTGGTTTAGGGTGAAAGGCTGGAAGAAGATCTACCAAGCTAATGGCCCCCATAAATAGGCAGGGGTAGCAATACTTACTTCGGATAAAGTAGACTTCAAACTTACATCGATCAAATGAGATAAGAAAGGACACTCTATACTAATAAAAGGGGAAATACACCAAAAGGAAGTAACAATTATCAAACTATATGCACCCAACATCAGTGCACTCAATTTCAGCAAACATACTCTGAAGGACCTAAAAACATATATAAAATAAACTCCAACACAGTGGTAGTGGGAGACCTTAATACCCCTCATCACCAATAAATAGGTCATCCAAACAAAAAACCAATAAAGAAATTCTAGAACTAAACCACACCATAGACCAAATGGACCTTGCTGATGTCTACAGAATATTTCAACCAACTGCTGCACAATATACATTCTTTCTAGAAGCCCATGGAACCTTCTCCAAAACCGATCATATCATGGGGCACAAAGCAAGCTTCGCAAATGTAAGAAAATGGAGTTAATATCATGAATTCTGTCAGACCACAATGTGTTAAAACTAGAAATCAACAACAAAAACAGCAGTAAAATAAACAAGCAAACAACTGAAAGCTGAACACCAGATTGCTCAATGATCAATGGGTCATTGATGAAATAAAATTAAAAGGTTCCTGGAAGTTAATGAAAATGAAAACACAACCTTCTGGAGCCTATGGGACACAGCAAAGGCTGTCCTAAGAGGAAAGTTTATAGCCATGAGTGCATATATTAAAAGGTCACAAGGATCTCAAATCAATGATCTAAAACTACAGCTCAAACTCCTAGAAAAACAAGAACAAGCAAACTGCAAAACAAGCAGAAGGAAAGAATAATTAAAATAAGGGTTGAAATCAATAAAATAGAAACAAACAAACAAAAACATACAAAGAATTAATGAAATAAAAAGCTGGTTCTTTGAAAAAATAATTGACAGACTGCTGGCAAACCTGACTAAAATGAGGAAAGAAAAAACCCAAATTAGTAAAGTCAGAAATGCAAAAGGGGAGATAACAACAAATACCATGGAAATCCAGGAAATCATCAGACTATTTTGAGAGCCTATCCTCTAATAAATTTGAAAATTTTGAAGAAATGGACAGATTTCTAGATACTTACGACCATACAAAACTGAACCAAGAGGATATTAATCAGCTGAATAGATCTATAACACAAAATGAAATTGAAGTAGCAATTAAGAGTCTCCCAAAAAAGAAAAGTCCACGACCTGATGGATTCACTGCTGAATTCTATCAGACCTTTAAAGAAGAACTAATACCAACTCTCCTTAAATTGTTCCATGAAATAGAAAGGGAAGGGACACTGAATAACTCGTTTTATGAAGCCAATATTACTTTTACTCCAAAAGCAGACAAAGATACCTCCAAAAAGGAGAACTATAGGCCAATTTCCTTAATGAATATCAATGCAAAAATCCTCAATAAAATAATGGCAAACCAAATCCAACAACACATCAGAAAGATCATACACCATGATCAAGTTGGCCTCATCCCAGGGATGCAGGGGTGGTTCAACATATGCAAATCTACAAATGTAATACAGCACATTAACAGAAGAAAAGACAAAACCACTATCACCTCAACAGATGCAGAAAAAGCCTTTGACAAGATCCAACACCACTTCATGATAAAAGCTCTAAGAAAACTAGGAATAGAAGGAATGTACCTCAACAATGTAAAGGCTATCTATGACAAACCTTCAGCCAACATCACATTTAATGGTGAAAAACTGAAACCATTTCCCCTAAAATCAGGAACGAGACAAGGGTGCCAACTATCCCCACTCCTATTCAACACAGTACTGGAATTTCTAGCCAGAGCAATTAGACAAGAAAAAGAAATAAAAGGAATGCAATTAGGTAATGAAATTGTCAAAATATCCCTATTTGCAGATGACATAATCCTATACCTTAACAACCCAAAAAACTCTACCCAAAAATTCCTAGACACCATAAATAGCTACAGCAAGGTGGCAGGATACAAAATCAACTTACAAAAATCATTAGCTTTTCTGTACACCAACAACAAACAAACTGAGAAAGAATATATGGAAACCATTCCATTTACAATAGCCTCCAAAAAAATCAAATACCTAGGAGTAAACTTTAAAAATGACCTCTACAAGGAGAGCTACATACCCTTGAAGAAAGAGATTGAGGAAGACTACAGAAGGTAGAAAGATCTCCCATGCTCATGGACTCATAGAATAACACAGCAAAAATGGCTACACTACCAAAAGCAATCTACATGTTCAACAAAATTCCCATCAAAATCCCAACGACTTTCATCACAGAGATTGAAAAATCTACCCTAAAGTTCATTTGGAAACACAAGAGATCACGATAGCCAAGACAATACTCAGCAAAAAGAGCAATGCTGGAGGTATCACAATACCCGAGTTCAAACTGTATTACAAAGAAATAGCAATAAAAACAGCACGGTACTGGTACAAAAACAGACATGAAGACCACTGGAACAGAACAGAGGACCCAGATATGAATCCACACAAGTATACCCACCTTATTTTTGACAAAGGGGCCAAAAATATACAATGGAGAAAAGACAGCCTTTTCAACAAATGTTGCTGGGAAAAGTGGTTATCTGCCTGCAAGAAACTGAAACTAGATCCATACCTGTCACCCTGTATTAGTATCAACTCAAAATTGATCAAGGACCTTAATATTGGACTTGAAACTCTGAAGTTAGTACAGGAAGGAGCAGGAAACACTCTGGAAGCAAATAGGTATAGGCAAGGACTTCCTCAATAGAATCCCAGCAGCTCAGCAAGTAAGAGAAAAGATGGACAAATGGGACTTCATAAAATCAAAAAGCTTCTGCACAACAAAAGAAATGGTCTCTAAACTGAAGAGACCAACCACAGAGTGGGAAAAAATATTTGCCAGCTATACATTAGACAAAGGACTGATAACCAGAATATACAGGGAACTTAAGAAACTAAACTCTCCCAAAATCAATGAACCAATAAAGAAATGGGCAACTGAACTAAACAGAAGTTTCTCAAAACAAGAAATTCAAATGGCCAAAGAACACATGAAAAAATGCTCACCATCTCTAGCCATAAAGGAAATGCAAATCAAAACCACACTAATATTCCACCTCACCCGTTAGAATAGTCATCATTAAAAACACCACCACCACGTGTTGGTGAGGATGTGGGGAAAAAGGAACCCTCATATACTTTTGGTGGGTATTCAAGCTAGTGTAACCACTCTGGAAAGAAAATTTGGAGGTTTCTTAAAAATCTAAAGATAGATCTCCCATATGATCCAGCAATCCCACTCCTGGGGATACACTCAAAGGAATGCGACACAGGTTACTCCAGAAGCACCTGCACATCCATGTTATTGCAGCGCTATTCACAATAGCCAAGTTACGGAAACAACCAAGATGCCCCACTACTGATGAATGGATCAAGAAAATGTGGTATCTATACACAATGGAATTTTACTCAGCCATGAAGAATGAAATCTTATCATTTGCAGGTAAATGGATGGAACTGGAGAACATCATTGTAAGCCTGGTTAGCCAGGCTCAGAAGACCAAAAATCTTATGTTCTTCCTCATATGCGGTCTGTAGATCTAGGGCAAATACAGCAATGTTGCTGAACTTGGGTAACATGACAAGGGGAGAACACATACAAGAGGTATAGGAATAGGTAGAAAACCCAAAACATGAAAGCATTTGATGTCCCCACTCCAGAGGAACTAATACAGAAACCTTAAAACGACAGAGGTCAACATGAGAAGGGGATCAGGAACCAGTGTAAAGATCAGTTAGAGACGAATCAATCTGGGTTGTAACACATTTGTACATGAAAGCAATGCTAGGAATCTCTCTGTATAGCTATCCTTATCTCAACTAGAAAAAATACTATGTTTTTCTTATTGCTTATTTCTATTCTTCAACGGAACTGGAGAAAAGCACAGAACAGGTTCTGCCTGGAAGCAAGGGGGGGGGGAGAAGATGGGGGCAGGGGGCCGGAGGGAGAAATGACCCAAACAACGTACACACATGTGAATAAATGAATAATAAAAAAATTCTTAGACACATCATAAAATAAAGACTACTGATATTTAGAATAGAAAATTACTTTCAGGTTAAATAATATATAATTTTAAAGGAGAAGCAATAAAGTTCAAACAACTGCCTTTAACTCATTTTTACATCTAGCAATTACTTTAAAGAAATAGAGAAGACCACAAAGAGGTACATAGATAATGTTCATGGCAGATCTTTGTAGTATAGAAAAAATTAAAATTGACTGGGCATGGTGGCTCACTCTATAATCTCAGCTACTCAGGAGGTGAAACAGAAAGATCATAGTTCAAGGCTAGCACAGGCAAAATGTTAGTGAGGCTCATCTCAACTAATAAAGCTGGGCATGGCGGCTCAAGCCTGTCTTCCCCAGCTGTGCAACAGGTGTAAATAGCAGGACTGTGGCTCAGGCTGGCCCAGGCAAAGATGCAAGACCTTATTCTAAAAATAACTAAAGCAAAACAGGTTAGGAATGTGGCTAAGTGGTAGAAAGTTTCCCAGCAGGTGCAAGGCCAAGTTCAAAGCCCAGTACTATCAAATTTTTAAAAAGTTAAAAAAAATTAACCCAAAATGTTCATAGGAGTGGTCAAACTGGAGTGTATCTGTTTTTTAAATAAAATTTTAGTCACTAAAAGTGATTATGTAAATATGTATATCTGTATTTACTAACATGAATAGATGTCATATATTACAGTTTGGCTATTTACAGCAGTGGTATTTATTCTCATTTAGATGCTACTATGTTTTCTGAAAAAATATTTTCAGTGTCCACATATTAATTTCTTAGAAAAAATAAAGTTATAAATGTGGTTAGTGCATTAAAAACAGATAATAATGTACATTTATTACTCATCAGTTTTTCTTTTTCTTTTGCTTCTGGACCTCCTTTAGGAACAAATTTAGTAGTGATATATCTCAGTTTCAACTGATCTATAATAAAGCTGTAACATATATCTGAAATAATTTCGAGATTATATTCCTACATAATTAAAGGAAACCACCCAAAAAGTCACTATGTCAAAATAAATAACTTTTAAGTTTTCAAATGATTGACAATAAGAGATTAGATAATAATTTTTAAGATTGTATTTCCCTTGGGAATCTACCTAAATAGCTGGTGCTGAAAAACAACAAAGTCACTCTACAAAGAGTTCTGTGTTCAAATCTAGTATTCTTCCTTAGATTATCACCTCCCACATAAATAAAAGTAACACCTCAAATCAAACCAACTTTGCTGCACATTTGATTCACATCATTCAGCCCTTCTGCTGAATTAACTGAAAAATAAACAAATAATTGGAATGGATCTGCTATGGTTTTAGTGCTTTTGTCCTCTCCAAAACTCATGTTGAAGTCAACCTCCAATGCGACAGTGTTGGGGGGTGGAGTCTAATGGGAGGCACTCAGCACATGAACAGTCAATGTCACTATACAGAGGGCCTATGGCAAAGGGTTCAATCTCTTCTGCTCTTCTGCCACCAAGGAACAGTACTTCTGCCCTTTGGAAGATTTACCATTCGAAGTGCCATACGGAAGCAGAAAGGTATCAAAGGAGCGGGGGCCTTGCCCTTGGACTTCCCAGCCACTAGAATCAAGAGAAATAAATTTCTCTTCTTTGCAAATTACCCACTTTGAGGTATTTCATCATGGTAACACAAGACAGACGAAGTCATACTCATTTAGAAAAATAATTTAAACCAACTTAACGATCATATATATATTGAAAGAACTTTTGTAAATGTCACAATGCAGCCCCAGCACAATAAAAAAAATTAAATAAAACATCCTTTGACTATTGTAGAAAAAAAGGTAAATCCCTCCTACGTTGTTTACATTAACATTTGAGACAACCCAACACTAGAAGCTTATGAAATAGTTTTTCTTTAAACAATAGATAGGAGGAAGAACGATAAAGAAAAAGCTTTTAAAAAACTTGCCAAATTAGAGTAGGGGTGTGCCTCAAGTGGTAGAGTTCTTGCCTAGCAAGCACAAAAGGCTTGACTTCAGTCCCCAGTATCATAAACAAACAGCATGCCATCCTTTGTCCTAATCATGAGAGCAGTGTTGACAATACCCTGAATAAGATTATAACCCAGAAATTACTGAGGATTGTCATGTGGGTATATATGTGGAGTTTTTCCTAACATTAACTTTTTTGAGATAAGATCTTGCTATTTGGCCAAGGAAGGCTGGCCTTCAACATAGTATCTTCCTGCCTAATTGTCTGGAGTACTGGGATTAGACGAGTGTACTACCATACTCAGAGCTCATCTTAAATTTAATATTTTCTTTTGCTTAATCGAAAATTTAAGAAAACATCTAAGGTGTTCAGAAGTCATCAATGGGGGTTGAACACAGGATACAACTTCAGTATTTCCACACATCAGTGATTTCTGTTGACTGTCAGTTGCTCATCCCTCAAAAGTAAGTCAGATCCTGTTATTTTTCTGCACAAAACTTTTCATTGTCTATCTATCTGGCTTATCGCGAAAGCCAAAGTAAAAGCTAACAGCCTAGGCTCGCCTCTCCTCACCTCCTGCCCCCACACTCACAGTCCTTCCTCTGGCCTTCATTTCTCCCTTCACTAATGCTTTCTTATCTCCTAGCTCCACCATGAACTTGCTCCTTCCTGTCTGTAATGCTTTCCCCCAAGTGTCCACAGGGCTTTAACCCCATTTTCTCTAAGCCTTTGGTCAAAAATCACTTTCTCTGATTACCTCATTTGAATGTGCAACTTCTCGCCCAGCCCTCCTACTTTGCCTTCCCCAAATTATTATGTATTCTTCCACTGCACTTACTGCCATCTAGTACATTATATACTTTATCTGGTTTATTGTCTGTCTCCTCCAGAATACAAGCTCTATAAAAACAGGTTTTATTTTGTTTATGTCATCCTTAGGATCTACAGTAACACCTTGCACATAGTATCCATGAGAATTCATTTCTCTAGTTGTGTCCTATACAAGAGCAAGTCCCTCTGAAAGCTGACAACAGAATCATGAAAAGCAACATTTTTTTAAACTACTTAATTTTGTTAGGCTTCAAATATGTTATGAATAAATTGTAAAACATGACTTACTCACCTTAAAAAGCAACATTTTTTTAAACTACTTAATTTTGTTAGGCTTTAAATATGTTACGAATAAATTGCAAAACATGACTTATTCACCTTAACTCCAACTCACCTTACCCAGTAGCGCAAATAAATCATTTCCTTCTTGTAATCTCTCTTCAAAACACCTAAGCGCTTTTTTAACATAAGGTTCTTTCCCTCTTGTAATATCAAGCCATGCTTTTAAAACCTGCCCCTGTAAAAATGAAAAATTCTACTCATACTTCCATTTTCTTTTAGAAATAAGAGAAACAATTATTGACAAGAGGTGAATTTAACATCACTTTGGAGGGTAATTAATAACAAAAAGGAATTCTACCAAATAATGTTATGAACAATTAAATTCTACATAGTAAAATTGCTTTGAACCCTGGTGTGCTTAGAGTCTTAAAAACTAGAGCATGAATTTTAGCCTTTCAGATAACTCCCAGGCTGAATATATTAAGAATTTTGTCAAATATTCCACTAGTGCTAAACCCAATATCCCTCTCTGAGGTTTTGCTAGTACATTAACAGTAGCTAACAAGTAATCAATATGTAAGTAAGAATGTGTACCCTGTTTGGACACACAGCCCAAATGAACTATGATATAAAAACAGAAGATATTCTGCTTCCTTATCTGGATAATTGTGCACGTTATCTTTTTGTTTTGTTTTGTTTTCCCTAGTGCCGGGGATTGAACTGAGGGCCTTGTGCAGGTTAGGTAAGCGTTCCACCACTGAGCTATATTCTCAGCTCTGCACAGCTATCTTCTTACTCTCTGTGATAGTCTAGTGAATTTCAAAGCAGAGGAAAAAACACCAGAGAAATTAAAAACATAAGAAGTCATGGATATTTTCAATTCATCGGAAGGTCTGTAGGATTGGAAAGACAAAATTGCTTATTTTTCCAAGGTCAAATAAAAATTACAAGATATGCTCATCTATTAAAAAATTTTACATTAACTTATAAATTTACAGGCATTTAACAAAGATTATATTTACCTCCTTGTACTTCACCTGAAATATGGGTAAGAATCAACCAATACTGCTTCTAGTCACTAGAACCACTGCTATTTGAGTGGTTCTAGCTATGATCTCCATGAGGGTAATTTCCAACCTGTATTTCTAACCCAAAACCTCTCCTAAACCTTCCTTTTTTTCAAAGGCTCACCTTCATCATTTCTTATGAAGACAAATACATCACCTCCCTCCAAAGGTATTCATGTGACCAGTCTCTGAATTATCCAGATTTCAGACCTCAGAAACATCTTGATATATGTTACCTCATTATCTTTTCCTCACTATTACCAGCTGACAAGTCCTGTGGGTACTTAAAAGTCCTTGTACTTCCTATACAATATTTTACTGAAATCCCTGAAAATCTTGTCAGAAAGAACTATTTTTTTCCTCTTTCCCACAATCTAGTTTCTTCTCAGGCCAGTATATCCTTCAAATCATTGTTAAATTAATCTTCTGGGTTTGCATTCCAGGAACATCATTCCCATAATTAAAAATCTTTAATGGCCTTGCAATGTTTATTAAATTAGACATAAGTATTTGTACCTAGCAGTCCAGATCCTTCAATTTGTCCCAATCTACTTCTCTAAGCTTTTCTTCCATCTTCATCTCTATAGTCTGTGTTCCTATCAAATGGGAGGCTCTCAGTGTACCCAGAATCAACATGTCTCATTTCCATCTATTATTTCACACCTTGGGAGTATCTACTTCACTTTTCTAGAAGGTTCACCTGTTGAAACGTCTTTTAGGTTTTAGCTCAAATGCCTCATCCTTTCTAAGCATTTTCCTCAATCTAATTCATACAGATGTAACTTTCCCTTACTTGAAAATACTATCTAGTACAAAGTAAGCAAGCAATAAATGTTAGCTATTATTTTCATGTGCACTTTAATCCATCTCTTTCACAGCATTTGTACTTTTCTCATAATATAAACCATGTATGTATATGTTCTATGCCACTAGATGATTCATTCATCTTTATCTTTCTGCTATTAACAGTACAAATAATTGTTTCTTACATCCAGAGGGAGGGAAGGAATACAGGAAATAAAGAAAGAAGGAAAAGGGGGCAGAAAAAGGGAAGGAGTCAGGGAGCAATCTATTCAATAGTTAATAGCATTAAAAAAATCAGAAACCTTAGTTCCAACAAAGCTCTTTATCAATATCACACATATACATATAGAATCTGTGTTTATATGTTTAACTGTGTATTGTTCTAACAATCAATAAATGATCTCACATTGCCAAAAAATGAGCAACCTTAGAGAATCTCTATTTTACAATATAGGAAATACTAAAATAAAGCCAATCTTTATGAAGTGAGAGTGGACAATAATAAAAATATCAAACAACAGATTCTATGAGTATATAAATAACATAAACTTCCTTTAATGTTACTATTTCAAAATAAGAAAAAGAGCCACCTCATTACTATCATTTGGTATTTTCATCATTCTGTCAATATATTCTCTCGCTTTATCATGGCGACCAATATGCCATAAAAACAAGCCTGCATGGTATAATGTTTTCTGTCCAGCTTCTTTACGTTGCTCCTTCACTCTGGCATCTAATTCCAGAATAGCTTCTCTATCTGGGAGGGTAAAACAATATTAAATGAAAATTAAACTCTAGACCACTGCCCTAGAAAAGGTCAGGTCATTAACAGGGCAGAGAATTTAGTTATTTTTTCTGAAGTAGTACGTTCTATTAGAAATAAAATGCAAACCACACATGTAGCTTAATTTTTCTTGTAGTCCCATCAAACATGCAAAAAGAAACAAGTAAAATTAATTTTTATTAATGTCTTACCAAACATTAATAATGTCACATCAACCCACTATATCCAAAATATGAATAATTTATATAAAATTAATGATAGCTTGTATATCATTCTTACCAAATCTTTGAAATCTGGTGTTAATTTTACATTTAGATCATATCTCCATAAATTTCATGAAATTTACAGTTCAAAGGCAGATTCATATACTCAAGTTGTTTCATATGCAAGTTTTCTAATAACTGAGTCAATTCTCAGCTTTAAGTTTAGAATTAAATATAATATTTAGCTCCTCAAACTAGCCACATTTCAGTTGTTAAACTGCGTAGCTATCTAGTACAGCTAGGTAGTTTATGTCATTCCGAATACAGACAAGCCATATATGCCAGTATTTTTAAACAAGACTCATAAAAATTTAGTGATTCTAAAATAATGCCAAGACTAGCACTCAAATAATCTAACTCTTAAATTCTATTCTGAAACATATAAACATGTAAGATTATGGTCACAGTCCAGCAGAAAAGGTAATACATTTACTGTTATTTACATAGCTTAACACTTGATTGTGTGAGTGCATCCTTAAATAGACACTCTTCTTATGCTGTTCACTTCTTTTAAATCTATTACATCTGTTTGAGAATCAAATGTCAATGCTAGGCAAATTCACCTGAACACTGTACTTAAACACAATACCTGGATTAAGACTCAATTTGTGGGTGTATATCAGTGCAATTAGAGAACAAAGTGATACATCTTGTTTACTTTTAGTAGCCTCAAATTCTCGAAGAGCTTCTTGAGTTTTACCTAAAAATCAAAACAAAGATATGAAAAATTATTCTTAGCACAAAGAAAGAATTTAGAACTCATGGAACACAGGCCTTAATTTGTGCATACCTTCCATCAGGGTACCATAAGCATGATAAAACCTGAAGACTGGGTCATTGCCATACCTCTTCATTCCTTCGCTGGCAGCAAGTAACACATGATGGAAATACTTCTCTTGGCAATAGTAATTGATCAACGTCTAAAAGGAAGTAAAGTTTAAAAAGATTCTAGTGTTCTAAAACACTTCAAGAAGCAGGTATCAATCTTGAATAATTCAGAACTTAGCTAATGTGATTTTTTTCTTCTAAAGTTCTTTAAAACATTGTCAAATACTAGCATACTAACACTAGCATAACATTAACATCCATACTAAGAACTGCAGAATAGCATGAACACAAAATCACTGAAATAACTAAATGTTTTCTTACTATTTTCAATCTTTCTATCCTGAGTTTTTTGTTAACAGTACTGAAATCAAACAACTTTCACCTCTTCTTTGCATAATTTTCTTAAGGTTTCAGAAAAGATTAGATAACATAAAACAATAAACAAAACAAAAGGATGAGGCTTCATTGCCAGACTACAGGGTTATGTTTTGTTTTTTAAAGAAAATCTTCTTTTTTGAAGTCATCGTTACTATAACATTACCAAATTATGACAAATTAAACAGCCAATTTGTTGCCAAATGTTTCTTACTATATTTTGACAGTTCTGGGGTTTGAATTCAGGGCCTTGTGCTTTTGCTTGGGGTTGGCCTCAGACTGATCCTTCTAGTTCCACCTCCTATGTAGGTGAGATTTACAGCTGTATACCACCATACGCAGCTTGTTTTTTGAGATAGTGTCTTGGGTTTTTTTGCCTAAGAAAAAACCTGGCCTGGAACCACCATCCTCCCATCTAGCTGGGCATCCAAGTGTGTGTTATATCTTACTAGTTTTATATCTGAGAGTACAACAAACAATCTATCAGTAAGCATAAATGAGGTAAACTGTTTTTCAATGGAAACGAGTGTTTTTAAGCTTTTTCAAAATTATATTACTGTGATTTACTAGCTGGAACTATGATGACATGCTAAATTATGATTAACTGGGTCTGTGTCTAAGGCTAAGCTCCTGACCTATGAAGGAGAGAATTCACACTTGCGCCATCACTGTGACACACCAATTCCTCCCTCCATAGTCCAATGCATACCTCCCTGGTACTCTGCATCTGCACTGGTGTAGCAGGAGTGAGAAACACAGGTGAAGCACTGGCTGACAGGATTTAAGTCTGAAGGGGTCTAGAAAGCTGTTTCTCAGGCTATCGTTTCTGGAGGGCTGCATCCATAACATTTTCCAGGTCACAGTTAGGCAGACATTCTCCGTAACCTTTACTCTGCTTCCCTCCTGTGGTCACTTCTCTCCATTTTGCTTTTTAGGCATGTTTCTGGGAAGTGTGATCCATATTCCATCTTCAAGGCACCCACAGTCCAGATCAGTAAAGTGTACTTTTCCTCCAGTGCTCTGTTCCCTAAGGTCATGATGGCCTCTTAGTTGGTCACTTTTAATATCATCTTATTTGACTTCTGTGGGGCGTTGACTATTACCTAGCAACTACAATCCTTCTGAAAGGTACAGTGTCATGAAAAGGACATGGACCTGGTTTTAAAATCTCACCTCAGTTTGCTCATTTGTAAAGTGCTAATAAAAAACCAAGTGTACAGATACAGGTAGTTGTGAGGCTTAATTACTTTAGCATAGTGTAAAATCCCTATTCTGAAAAAAATATGTTCCTCAGCTCCCCATACATTGATGAAATGAAAATGATTTGTGTAGCCAAGACCTCTCATCTAAGCTCCAGATTCATACTTTCATTTGCTACCTGCTGCTTAAACCAGGAACTCAATCATGAACCCTTCATGTATGTCCAGTCCTCCTAAGACTAACCAATCATTAACTTCTTCTACTTCTCCTGTTTACTTATTTTTCTACACATTTACTGCTACCTCCCTGGTTCAGTTGAAGTTGTTTAGTCTATTTTTCTATTGTTTTTTGAGATGGTCTCACTATGCAGTGCATGTTGGCCTGGAACTTGTGATGCTCCTGCTTCAGCCTCCTGAATACTAGGATTACAGGCAAGTGCTGTTACTACAGGTATGTACCACCAAACCAGAAATCAAACAAACATTTACAGTCCAGGCAGTGAGAATACAGAATGAATAAGACATGCTCCCTATCCTTGGAAAATCTCACTTTTCATATAATCCTGTAATCCAAAGACTAAACAAAATACAACACTAATGCAAGAAAGGAGCCTATAAATGTCTTTGGGAATATAGGATAACATTTAGTTTGGCAACTTAGAGTAGGTAAGGGGAGGGTGGAAAAGTAAAATGAAGGGAAAGTTTCCTAGGAAGGATTTTAAAGTTGACTTCTGAATGGCAAATACCTCACTCGCCCTCTCTATATAGCATCTTCCTATTCCCTTTAATGATTCTTGAGAAATGTGAAGGAGTTTGCAAGGCAGAGGAGCAGCAGCAAAGACATGGAGATAAGAGCTCAGAATGGCCCTTTGGGATGGAGGGGCTGGAAGTCATGCCATACACAGAGTAGAGAAGGGCAAGCTAAGCGGGCCACCTCTGGCTGTACCTGTTTTTATACAGCCTGTAAGCTAAGAGTGTTGTTTTCATTTTTGAATGGAAGGGGGGGGAAATAGCCACAAACTCAAAATTTTGACGGCAATAAAGTTTTATTGGAATGTATCCATGCTCATTCATTTAAGTATTATCTCTGGCTGCATGTAGATGTGACAGAGACCCATGACTCAGGAGGCCGAAAATATGTACTATCTGACCTTTTGCAGGAAAGTTTGCCATTCCTTGTTCTTAAGTACTGGATTGATGAGGGTGAAAAGTAAGGTAGGTTCAAGAAGGACCTCATTTTAAAGACTTGGAGCTGATCCTTTAGTCTCAGTGGTGAGGAGCTGCAAGTAGTTCTTAACATTAAAAAGTGCTTTTATTAAAGATCTCATTTGAGTGGTAATGTGAAGGATATGACGAAATAAATTAAAGGGATTGGGGGAAGCTTGAAAGATGTTAAAGTTTAGGCAAAAAAGCAAAACACTTCAAACTTTCCTAACCTCCTTCAAGGTCAAAGTGTCCTCCACTCACTTATCACCATCTCTAGAGATGAAATAGTATTTAACTGCTTATAGTCTTAACTCTTCCTATTTGAATATAAGCTCCAAGATTGGGAGAGTTTTGTTTTATTGTGGCAGAATCTTTGGTCCTTAGAATATGGCCAGAGGCACAGAAGGCAGTAGATAAAGATTTGTTGAATGCACAAGGTTTTTTTTTTTTCTCCTCAGCATTAGACTGTAAAATCTGTGGTTATTTAATCCTTTAATCTGTTCTGCTCATTACTTCTGACATGCAGGAAGAACTCCACAAATACTGGCTGAAATGAGTGAATCAATGAACAAATGAATGCAGAAGACCATTACCCACTCAGGAAACGTGTTTTATTTTCAAGCCTCGTGTCTTTGCTTTGGGTCATTTCTTAAGTGGACAGTCATTAGACAGTGAGTAGATGAATTAGTGATTAACAGAGGCCACCCTAAATAAAGACTCCTCCATTTTTAAGCCTTATGTCTTCAAATGGTTTCATATAACCGTTCCCTGCTCCTTTTACTGTCCAAAAGGAGGATCTGACTACTAACCTGCTTTACATTCTTCAAAATCGCACCTGAAGCCGGGTGTGGTGGTTCACGCCTGCAATCCCAGCACTGGGAGGGCTAAGGCAGGAAGATCACCAGTTCGAGGCCAGCCTGGGCTGCACAGCAAGACCCTAACTCACGGCTGGGGGCGCAGAATCGTGTTACCCAAGCTTTCCCAGAAGACGTGATAGTAAGTAAGGACAACGGGGTGGGGAAAGACCCTAACGGCGGCGCGGCGCCGGGACCAGGCGGGGCGCACGGAGGCCACGGGCCTCACGGCCAGGCCGCTGTTCCCCTGAGCAACCGCCTCGCGGGGTCCCCCCGAGCCCTGCACACACCCCCAGCCCCGGCACCCCGCAAAGCGCCCGCGCCGGTCCTCTCGCCCGCTCACCTTCAGCCCCTGCGCGTCCATAGCAGCCGCCCAGCGCCCGCCTCAGCCCCTCGGACCGCCGGGCTCAGGCCCTAACCCGCTGGCGCTCTGGACGCGGAGGGCGGGACAGAGGGGCGGGGCCTCTCTGCCATTGGTTGGCGCAGGCAGGGGGCGGGGCCTGGCAGCCGGCGTGCGGGGTCGCGCAGCGGGGACCCCGAGGGAGGGCTGCGAGGGCGACCCGGGGCCTAGCTGGAGAGAAGGGAGAGGCTGGGGCGGGGTGCGGGAGGGTGGCCCTGCGAACCGCCGCTAGGCAGGAAGGGCGCAGGAGGAGCCGGGTGCGCGGACCTGTGGATATGACATTAATAAGGAATAAAGAAGCTGGGAAAGAAAGGAAGAAGGACAGGTGTGTTTCCCGCCACTGGCAACAAAGTCTCCATTTTCTGGACGTTTAAGTGGAAGCGGATTTCCGCAATGCGGCTGGTGCAGGCTTGAACCGCGCAGGACAACTTTCACCTGCAGTAGAGCATGGTAGCCACAAGGTGGTGCAGAAGTTCCCCGTTAGTAGAAATGGGCTGCGCTCCTAGGATGGTTTGAAATCTTTGCAGGCATTGCTGCAGTCCTGTGTTTCTGATTAGAATGATTATTAAATCAGTCCATTTTTACATGAGAGGGACAAATGAGCTGAACGTGTGTAATGGATGTATTGGCTGGTGATATGGCTCAAGTGGTAGAGCACCTAACGAATTGAGTTCAAATCCCAGTACCACCAAAAGAAAAAAAAAAATCTGTATAACACCAAAGGCTCATGTGTTGAAGTCTTGGTCCCCAAATTTTGGATCTATTGGAGGTGGTGGAACCTTAGGGAGGCAGCGCCTTTTGGAAGGAAGTTGGATGATTGGGATCACCTTGAAGAAAATTTTGCGATCCTGGCCCTTTCCCCTTTTTCTGTTTGCTTCCTGGTTCCATGACGTGAGAAAGCCTCTAGGTGCTCCCGTGGTGTAATGTTTGTGTCTACCACAGACCCAAAGCAACAAGGCCAACTGCTTGAAACCTATAAACTTGTGAGCCTAAATAAACCTTTCCTTCTGGTAAGTTGTTTATCTCAGGTATTTGTTACAGAAACAGAAAGCTGAGTAACAGAAACTAACTTTTTTTTTCTTACAGCACTTTATATGATGTCAGTCTGTAGAGAAAGTGTAGCTGTCACAGACTGTAAAGCAAAACAGTTTTCATACTTGTTTCCTTTTAAAGTGCATTCCACCCATTAAGGCAGGTGTCGTTTTCATGGGGATTGTTTTTAGCATTCATAGTCCAGCTAAACTAGTGGTAATGGGCAACTCACCTGCTGGTCTGATTTTCAAATCTGTGGGTTAGACTGCATTTGGTATGCAGCCAAGAAGGCCACAGGCCATCGTGCCCAGCAAAGTGTATAATCTTAAACTGTAAACTTTTGGTTCAGAAGGAAAAGTTCATCTGCAAGAAAATCTAAGGGTCACAGTTAAAGAACAGATGATCTGCACACCTTTATGAAATCTTTAAAGCCCAAACTTAGGCTAAGTCAGACCATATTAGTTTATCCCCTTGTAGAATTTCCTCCCCGGTATTGGATTCTAAGTTTAAATCATTTAGCATGAAACATCTTGCCTGACACTTCATGCGTGTTTGTTGGATTAAATCTCCTTTGAGATTTGCTTTGACACTCTTGGTGACTTGGTGTTCCCTAATAAGGTATCGTGGTAGAAGTTTCTAAAACATTCTGTCTTTCCTGAAATACTAGTATGTTCTTTAGCACAAACATTTTTACTGTTTGTAAACAGTCTGTAGCTTTTTCTTGGCTACAGACTTGAGTCTGTCATCCAAGACTCTTCACCTCTGTCTTGTCAAGACTTATCTCCTGCTACATGCCTCAAAAAGGCTTTATTCTAGACAAATAGGACAACAGTTCCTTCTTGGAGGAATGCTTTCCCCTCCTTTGTGCCAAGCTTTTTCTTTACTTCACAAACTACCCTCTCTTCAGAGAAATTGCAAATCCACTCACCATAACTGGATATGAGATGTAGCATGGTTTAGTGGCAGGAATCTGGTCTTCCCCATACCTAAGAGGGATCTCTTGTATATTATTTTCTTTGTGACTTGGGGAAGTAATTTTCTTGAGCCTCATTTTCCTTTTCTAATAAAGAAATAAAATGCATAACAGACATGAAAAGTTCTGGACATGTAAAAACATTGTAGAGCTGCTAATTTCCATTAAACACATAGTGCTTTATAAGACTTACTATGGGTTTGAGGATGTAGCACAATGGTAGTGAACTGCCTAACTTGCATGAGGTTCAGTCCTCAGCACTGAAAAAATAAAAGTAAAAACTGTGCACGTGGCATATATTTGTTTGTTTATTTCTTGGTTTGCTTAATCTTCCCTGCTAGATGGTGAGCACCTTAAAGTCAGGCAGTATAGCATAGTGGCTAAGAGTTTGGTCCCTGGAGACAGGTCATATGCATTTTACATCTTACTGTCACCATTCACTAAGTGTTCACTTCTCTGTGCTTCAGCTGAAAAGAAAGGCTATTACCTCACAAAGTGTTAAAAGATTGAACTGTTTACCTTTTTTTTTTTTGTGACATTGACCAGGTTAGTCTAGAGCTCAAGGTCTCAGGTATTCCTCCCCATTCAGCTTCCTGAGTAGCTGGGACTACAGGTGTGCACCACCATACCTGGCTCAAATAGGTTAATAATGTAAGGCACAGAGCAATATTAGATTATGGTAAGCATTGAAAAGATGTTACTTTTAATATTTGCAGTCTCAATTGCTCCAAATATACAGCATGTTGATCCCATAAACACTTTGTAAACATTATAGCACTGATGTGTCCTTTTAATCATGTCTGTATTTAGTTTTCTTCTCAATTCTTACACTGATCTGTCTGTATCTGCATTTCATCATGTATTCAAGTTTAAAAAACAGATTGTTCTGGTGAAAGCAAAAGTAAAATGAACTTATAGAAAAGCAATTAAACTATGTGAAGAGGCTAAATGAAGAAAAATTATTCTAACAAGATCTGTTTGTACACAATTCTCTTGGCTGTGACTCCTTTTAGAAAAATATTTCTGTTCTCCTAGTATAAGGAGGACATCTTCCATGTAAAAGTTTTGGTCTCTTATTTTCAGGAAGAGAATGAGAAATTCAAATTACTCTTTTTTATCTGCTGGTGTTCAAGTTTCTTTATCTGAAAATGATCAGTGTGACAAAGTGGCATATTATGGAGTGGCATATTCTGTCATCCTTCATACCTCTTTGTGGCATGTTGTTCCAACTGGCTTGTCCTAAATACCTCCCATTCTAACAATTTGAATTATTTATTTTTAAGAAAGTAGGCAAGAAACTCTTCCAGGTATGTATCCCTTCATACTGATACATGCAATATTCTGTAGCTAGCAATGGGTCCCAGGCTCGATTCCCTTCAAGAAGACAGTCTTTCCCATCCCAACCTCTGCCTGGAGGCAGGTTATGTTTCTTCCAAAAGCTGAGATATTTTCCCTTGCCCCAAACGTCCAGACTTTCTCTATATTGAACTCCTGGTTTCTCACATGCCAGGTCCTCCTCATCAGCATTTCTGCTGTCTGAATCAGCTGAATAAAGCAGCTGAAGATTCTTATTCATAAGTCCATGTATATCTCAATTGTGATTGGTGGCAGTACATCTTTTCTTTAAACTTTTATTCTTGGAATTTTTAATCACATGGAAAAGTTGAAGGGTATAATAATCACCCTTCTAGTCACCACCAGAGAACATTTTTGAAATGCTATTTTATGTTGCTGTCTCTATTTTCCATTCTCAGTTTCAAGTACATAGCTGGATCATTAGTATTTTTGCAGCAGTGTAAGCAAAAGCATTTAGAACGAAGCTGCCCTACAAGGTAACTACTAGACATATGAGGCTGTTCAAATTGTTTAAATTTACATTAAAATTAGAAAACATTAAAAGCCAGTTGCACTACTGTATTAGTCCATTTACATTGCTGTCACAAGCTACTTCAGGTAACTCGTGTGTGAAGGAAGGAGATGTATTTAGCACACTATTTTGTTTACTGACAATCCGAGATTGGGAAGATGAGAACTCTGATGATAAACAGTGCTAACACTCATTTCATATTTTTTCAGAAGTTGGTAGTACAGGTAACATGAAGTCCATTTGAATGTAGAATGGTGATTGTCAGAGGCCGAAGCTGTAGGGAGGGAATAGAGAGAGGCTGGATAATGATACCAAAATGCAGTTAGATAAATTAATAAACTCTATTCTACAACATAGTGGAGTGACTCTCATACGAATCTATTTTATATGTTATGAATTATTGGAATAAAGGAGTTCGTAGCCTCCAAGCACAAGGCAATGATAAGGAGATGGAAATCTGAATTACCCTGATTTTATCCTTACACATTGAATACATGTAAATGGAATACCATACTGTACCTCATCAATATGTAGAATTAGTAACTCCCCATTTCTGAACACCATGTAAGCCTCTTGGGTTCTGGTTGAGTCTTGGGAGAGAAAGGGAGAAAGGGTGTCATGATACTGAGTGAGAATTATTTTCCTGAGACAGATGCTGCTGTCCACACCTGTAATTCCAGCCACTTGGGAGGCTGAAGCTAGAGGACCACTTGAGCTCATGAGTTTAAGACCATACTGGGCAACATAGTGAGAGACCCCATCTAAAAATTTCTTTCTACCAATCCAGTGAGATCAATGCTCAGTTTTAGACTAAATTAAATTAACAAGAAGAAAAGGAAATAAGTATTTATTGGATTGTGAATTTTAAGTCAAAATTTCAAATCCATTTACAAGCAATGGAAATCGTCTTTGGAAATCATTTTAAACACAACATACAAATATTATTTACCTAAGAAAATAGTGTACATGTTTTTGGCCACTGGGGGACATTGTTGTTCCATGCATAGGACAAAAAAAGGTTCCAAAGCAGTGGTTCTCAAACTTGAGCACAACAGAATGACCTCTCCTGCACAGACTCTAAATCAGTGGGGATGAGGAGACAAAGATAACGATTTCTGCCACATTTGCAAGTGATGCTCATGCTGCTGGTCTGGGAAC